GATTTCTTTTCTCATTCTAAGAAAATATTCACTTTCCCCTTAATTTTGTATTTGTAATTTTGTATTTTTTTTTAAAAGTGCTTCCCTATCGTGAGCATTCCCGCCTCTCCCAGTTAGAACCCCCTCTCTATCTCGCACATCCAGACCATACCTGCCCCTTCCCTGAGAAAGTGTCACATTGTGGACAAGGAACATACTCTGGGAGCGGACCACCTCGGTTCAAATCTCAATACCGTCACTTGAGACCTTGGAAAAATTCATCTCTCTGAACCTCAGTTTCCTCATCCATAAAGTAGGGTAGGAACTATAGCGCTATAATTGTGTGGTACTTATCCTAGCGCATTTTTATGGGGACTAAATGAGCTTATCTATGGAAAACACTTACAACAGTCCCGGAATAGTATAGGTGCTATTTAAGATTTAGCTACTGTTATTATTCTGAACATGGACTTACTGAATGTCGATTACATACAGAGTTCAAGTTTTCCTCTTCCAAGAAGTCTTTCCTGATCCAGTTCTATAAATGATACATCTTTTCCTCTTGCTCCTGTAGGACTTATTATCCATACGACCACACTGCACATTCAATGCTTGGCATGTACTCAACTGATCTGCTGATTTGCTATCTAATATGCTTTTTTATATAAGTGTATTATCTTCTCACTTAAATTATAAGTTCCTTAGGAACATGAATTGTGTATTGTGCTTTTTTATATCCCTCTAAGTTATTTCAGGGTCTTATACATATATGTGTATGTGTATATATACATATTAGTATGTGTGTATGTGTATATATACATAGTAGGATGTATGTCTATGCTGACATATATGTGCATGTGTATATGTGTGTATGAGGAGAAACAGACTCAATTTTCCTGTTTCTGCCACAGAAGAGTGCCCTGTAGTGGCTGGGAAGAGCCTTGGTCCAATTATTCCAACTTGGGTTCCAAGATCTAAGCCACTGGGGAAGAAACTGAAAATTCAGTGACCCAGCTGTGTGACTAACTCTTGGGGTTTATGTCAACTCACAGGGTTCTTCTTCTCTACATTGTTTCTCTCTATGCTATCAAGAAACAGGCTGAATATTGCCTCTCTTCTCTACCAAGTAAGAACTTTGGAGAATCTGAATTGAGAATTTGGGGTCTCTCCAAGGTCAAGAAGGTATCACTGAGGATTCATGGAACACAACATCCTTGAAATCACTGATGTAAGATGACTTCTCATCTTATGGTCAAGAGAATTAAGCTTTTTATTATATAAGTGGAAGCATTAAAGTCCTTCCATTAAACGAGAATGCTAAAATAATATTATTAGAGCTTTAGAAGACTTATGGGTCATCCAATCCAACCCCCTTATTCTAGGGATAAGGAAACTGAGGCTTTGGTAGTGGGGTGACTTGCACAAGGCCATGCAGAGAATTACTCTTGCAGATGGGGCTAGAACTTGGCTCTCCTAACTCCTACACTACTGCTCTTTCTGAAGAGCCAGCCTATGTCCAAGTGCGACAAGCAGAAGGAATGTGTGGAACGACGTACAGTCTTCTTAATATACTCAAAACCCATCTTGTTAGGAACCTGGGCCTCAAAACCCAAGAAAAAAAAAAGTAAAAAGCAAAAAACCCGGAAGAAAACCCAACCCCTAAAAAAAACCCAAGGAAAGCAAAACTTAATAAACAAGGAACGGGGCAAAAAAGCAAGAGAAGCCGGTTAAAAAAAAGTCCGGAAAACCCGCCCTCCTAAAGGAAAGAACCGAATCAATTCCACCCAAGGAAATTGCCAAAACAAAACAAAAAAAAACCCTTATGCTCATTTAATTTCTAGGGTGACATCTGGTATGGACCACTTTGGCTTCAAATACCAACAATTCCCAACTTAATACGGTGAAGAAAAAAAAAGATACTTGCAAGCTGGCAACCTGCTCAAACCTGTTGAGCTGCCTGGGTGCGTAGGCAGATCAGGGGGTAGTCCCCAGCTGCTGAGCATCCCAGCAACTTGTATAATGAGAAGAAAAGGATAGAATGTTCCCGGTAAGGTGAATCCCAATAATCAATTAAAACACAGCCAACCTCCCTTGTTCTACCTTTTTTCCACAGTCTCTTGTAGAACAGTACAGATGAGGGAAAGGAAGGGAGGAGGGAATAGTATCAAGCTGTGGGGCTGGAATGCCTCCAGAAAAAGGTCTTTGCAAAAGAGTCTCTAACTTCTCCTAGAAACCAGGTACCAGTTTAGTGTTGGGGGTAGGGCATGGAGAAGATTCCCCTCTAAGGGCAAACTAGAAGGTAAAGTAAGTATCATTTGAGAAACTCTTGGAAAGAACTTCCCAAGTTGTTTTTTTCCTAAGGAGGCCCTTGTTAAGAAGGCACACATTAAAATGAGAATCTGAAAACAGGGGTCCTGGCCGTGGCCCTGTAGCTAAGCAGGTATGGTAGGTGTGTCCTTCAAGTGAATCACATTCCAGATCATGAAGCTTCGTCTCCTCATCTATAAAATAAGGGAGTGGAGCTTCACCAGTTGGCCTCAAAGCTCCCTTCCAGATCTTGTGGTCAAATCATAATACTCTCTTTCAAAGATGTTTGAAACATTTTTATATACTTTCTTTCTCAAAGCTTCTCCACCCCTTATTTTAAATAAGTGACTAATAGGGGAATTAAAACGACTTATAGTATGAGGAAAAATATTCCAGAAAGAGCCGTAGGGCTCACTGTCCCACAAAATTTAAAGCAGTGCATTGCTGCAAACTCCACCCCGATTAGACCTTGCTTAACCATTGACTACCGGAGTTGCTCATTGCTCCTCTAGCATGTCCGAGGTGCTCACTGTCAGGTTTCCCAAAGCAGATATTATCGTCATTTGGGGTGGAACAACGCTTCATTGTGCCAGACCATTCCTAGGTCTTGCCTCTAAATGCCATTCACACCTCCTGGTCATTGTGTCAACCCTTCACCACCCCCACATTTTCAAGTGTCCCTCAGAAAATGGTAGCACCCTGGTTACGAGCAACTGAAAGCTTCACTGACAGAGGATACGAAAAGAAGATTGTATTACCGTTAAATCATTTGAGCATCATTGCGTCTCAGGAACTTGTAGAAAAAAGTTGACGGAAACGATACGTTAACTAAGAAAACAATAACTAACTAATTTGTTAGTTATTGGCTAAGATGGCATTTGGTTAGCTGTGGCTGCAATTTCTCCTGGCTGGGCCAGTCACTCTCTCACCATCTCCTCCCTACACTTCAGTTCTCAGGCAACTGAGAGCTGCTTAACTGATGGATTTTCTTGCCCTTTTGCTCTCCCCACCAGTTTTTCCTCCACTCTTTCCCCTTCTCTTACCTGGCATAATGTCCTACAGGACTCTGTGGGCAAAAGAAACACCAAGCAGCACAGCAAAAGTGTATGAGTCATTGTCTTCCACACAGCTGACTTTCTTCCTTCTGTAAAAATAAATAAAAAGGCAGAATGTCTTCATTCTGAAGCTTTCATAGTTCCATGCCACTGCAGATGCAGTCGGACTGCAAGACTGGGCTCTGTCTCAGGGCTTTCTGCTCAGACCTCTGCTCCAAAGGTGGTGTCCTGTCCCCATGGTCTCCGGTGGACTTCATTCGCCAGGAGGCCGCCTGGACGTGTGAGTAGCAGCACGCACTGGGAGGCAGGGACAACTGCAGAGATATCCCCCAGCCTCTGCTGTGAGCTTGCACATCACACCTAACATGGGAATCCCTCCCAAGGAAGGTGCCACTTGCTGGATTTCACCTTGCCTGCCAGGGTAGAATAACTAACAGCCTGTGTTCAGGGAGTTGGAATGATGGTTCAGTCTTTGGGTTAGGCAAGGCTGAGAAATGTGTGGGTGGCTACAGTAGAAGATGAGCTGGGGTTCCTATGGGCCAATTCAGCCTGGAAATATCTTTTGAAGTGGAGTAAGCCCCAGGCTTGGCCTATTCTCTGTCACTTCCACCTAACTCTAGAGCTATATTTATATAGGTAGGTAGAAATTTCTTCAAAATTGATCTTAGGCATGGTCTATTATTATTTCCACCAGGACTAAAATTAATACTAAATTGATTTCTTGACACCTAGAAAAGTGTTCAACACATGCTGGGCACACTATATACTCAATACAGGAAGAGAAAGGAGGGAGGGAGAAAGGGGGGAAGGAAGGGAGGCAGTGAAAGAAGGAAGGAAGGTGGGCGGGAACAGCTGACAATTGACATCAGAACCTACGCTTTATAGAGGACTTACCTCAGTCAAAAATTTTAATATTAAACTTTAATAATTTTAATATTTTTCATCCTGAGAAGATAGATTGTCTCTGAAATGTATTCGATTTTTTTACTTTTAGGTGAAAGGATTCAGAAGGCTTACATGTCATCAGCAAAGGCCAGGAGCTATCACAATGGTTGGTATCTGCTCTTTGGCCATTTTCAGCCAAGAAGAAATCTTTAGCCCAATTGTGCATAATTCTATAGCAATGCCATTATTTTAATGACTAGGCAAAATTGATTTTTCAATCAAGTTTCCTGGCATTGAAATATTTACCTAGCTGAAATTCCACTGAAATCCAATGATTACCTAAGATACTTTGCATTGCCTGTTTCAGCCTGTTGTTAATACAGTTTTCTGAACCTCTGTAGTTCTTATCCAAAGGAATTACTTTATTGCTCATCACTTTTAAATGTCTTTAGTAACAACACAGATGGACACACAATTTCAAGTAAAATCGCCAGCCATATTTGTATCCTTTAATTTAACGTAAGTCATTCAAATAGATGAAAAGCCCAGCATAAAATCAACACTAATGTGCACATGTGGGAAGTAACATTCACAGGGTGTCAGGCAGGTGGGAGGGTGGAGGAGGGGATGGGTAAATCCACACCTAATGACTACTATGTGCACTGTCCAGGGTATGGGCACAGTTGTTAGGCAGTACAAAGGCAGTTTATGTAACCAAAGTGTTTTTACCCCCTTAATACTCTGAAATCTAAAAAAGGAAAAGAAAATCATCAAAGTGACCTATCAGAATCATTACCAATGCAGTTAATACTTTGGGTGAAATCATAAAAATTGGAAAACATTAAAGCCATTGATGAATTTGTTGACATAATGTTCACACAACCTGAGAATGAATCCATAGTTTTCTGAATCAAGTTGACTTTATCTTTTAAAATTCTTATCATACAGAATGTTCTTTCTCTTAACTAAAGCTAATTTTTAAAAAAAATGATTTAGGGAATGAGACAAGA